CAACCAGATGTTTCATCTTCTCCTTTGGTCACAAAGCGTTATATACGTCTTTAATGGTGAGTGTATCACGACTATACAAAATCATGTCCCTAAACAACAAAAATGAATAAGGCAGTGAGCACAACAAGATCAAGACCAAGTCTTCTTCATCATAATTTACCTCTAACATTTCCAAATCAGCGACAATCTCCTTAAACAAGACCAGATGGTCTTCTAAAGATCCTCTTTCTTCCATGCTATGAGAATATGACCTCTGTTTCAGACGCAACTTGCTTATTAGATTTTTTGTTATGCATAGTTGCTCCAATAATGCAGCAACTGTCTTCTCCTTCAAAACATCCTGAAGAATGTTGTTGGAGAGATGAAGAAGAATCTATAAAAGCGCCTTCCAATCCTTTCGTTATTTCTCCTCAGTTGTCCAAGTTGTAAGCATTCTGTCAAATCCAAACAATGCATCGTCAAAATCCATCTATGCCAATACAGATCGTATTTTTACTTACCACAAGAAAAATCTTGTATTGTGATCCAAAATCGAAATTTTATACTTCATAGTTGTCATTGATAACGAAAACATCAAACAAAATCACAACCAATTGCTCTTATACCACTTGTTGGGATTCCCACAAAATTTATGATACCACTTGTTGGGAATGGGAAGGTTAATATGGCAAAGTACTGACTATATAAGCAAGAACAATATTAAAGCGAAAAGAGAGACTGACAGAGGAACTTAGTAATTTTATTAATTACGATTAATGGAGAGAAAAAATACAATTTGAGCAATTACAATAAATTGGAAAAAGAGTCTCATATTTATAGGGGATGTCCTAAACCCTAGGAAAAACTGAAAATATGGAAAATAGGTAAAAAATAAGTGTAAAATCGAAAAGGCAAAAAATCGATGAGGCGCCATTGCTCGAGCGTCGCTGCTTCCAAAAGTTTGCCTATAGCTCGAATGGTAGCTAGCAACCTCCAATGCCGTAAATTCGATGTTTCCTTCTTCAAGCCCAATACTCCAAACACGCAACCCTAAACCGAATTTGGTTCACAAACCCAACAGGATCATCTCGCCCTACTCCATTGTCATCCCTAGAAACGAAGTTTGTGTTGATGAAAAAAATGGAAATTTTTCCTTTATTCTTTTGTAGTACTTCATGTAGTAACAAAGTCCCTTTTTTCTGTTAACAATGTGCTTTTACTTTACAGGCTGCTTAGTTGGGCTGCCCAACTTCGAACGGGGAGTGCTATAGACTGAATTCAATAACCATTACTATAAGAAAATTAATTTGGCATATGCATACTCCATCCACTTTACAAAAAGGAAGGATTTTGTTACGTCTCTTCTAACAAAGACCACAAAAAGAAGAGTTTTGGCTCTAAGCTATTATTGTTCTATCTGTCTTATGGGAGCTTGTATTTAGTCCTTCCAATTACTAAAATTTCAATAATACCAATCTTGTTCTTGAAAAGATGTTAAATTTACCGTCTATCTTCTTGAAGAGCCTTTCTTTAACTGCAAAGCATCTTTATATGTCAGCTATAAAAATGACTCTTTGTGAATGGAAGAATGTACACAATAATATTTAAGAATGGACAACGATCTCTTTTTGAATTTAGAAATTAGTAGGGATGACAAGTTGACTCGAAAATTAGAGCCCCACAGTGCCCACCCCATGACGATTTTCAGGATGGGATTTTTTATCTTATTATTTAAAAAGTTCAAATTTTGCATAAATTACCCTTAGCCCTTTTTTCTGCTCAAACCCAAACCTATTTCTCAAGTACATGAGTCTAACTCTAAAATTATCCTAAAATTTATAGAAAAAAGTAAAAATATATAAATAGGACAGGGATTCTTTCTCCCCCATTGTCATCCCTTGAAATGAGGTTCGTATTCGAGGGGTAGAAAGCCCAAACCTGCACCCCAGGCCCATGACATTTTTAATGTAAGAAAAAAAAATTCCTTCTTCATATCAAATCAGAAGATTTTTTTTTTTTTTTTTTTGTCCCTCCTGGCCCTTCCTCGTTCGCATTGATGGAAAATGGGAAATTGTCCTTTATTCTCCTATATATAGAGTACTCTATGTGGTAACCAGATCTTTCTATGCTAATAGGGTTTCTTACTTTACTTATGTAAGCTTAGTTGGGCTGCCCAACTTAAAATGGGGAGTGCTTTAAATTTCATTCATGCATTAGTCGCCATCTTACGTGGATATTTTTTTAATGAAAAATCGATATTTTATTCAGTCATATCTCCATGAATAGTTGGTGCCATATGTAACAAAATATAGAATTTCCAAGAAAGTGACACATTAGCTAATAAAGCAACTGAGGCTAATATGTTACCTTCACATGACAGATAACAACAAGAGCCACTATATTGCAATATCAAGCAACAAATCCGCCTTTGTGGGTGGCAAAAGAAAAATCTGAAAGCAAGCACTAGACATTATATAGGGAGTCAATTTTTACTAAAGATAGTTGGAAACCATTTGTCTTCGAGCATAGGTGCCCGTCTTGTAATGCCACCCTTTAGCATCTGTAAGTGAGAATCGACTAGCAATCCTTTCTGTAAAGGCCTCTATAACCACCACATCGTGTCTCTAAATCAGTCCTCCAGCTCCAATCCATTCCTTCCCAACTTGCGTCCTTGTGTCACTTTTAGTTTGATCGCCAAATCGGTGGCCTAACTCAGCACCTCTCTCTCTTTCACAACCCTGCCACCCCCCACCCTCACCCGCTAACTCCATCTCTGGTTCGTTAACACTCCCTTGTGCAAACATCTAACAATTTTCTCAAAGCAAGACAGGTCCCGATCAGTTATCCCGTGGATACGAAATACCCCATTTCTTTCTCCCCATAACACCCACAACAAGCAGCAAATTCGACATAGATCCAGCACATTACATAAATACTTTGTATAGACACAGACATGTAATTTTGTAATCCTTGACTAAGGTCATCTATACAATGGTGTCTAGACTTTACTAATGTTAGTTGTTACAACAACATTTAATAGAACTAGCCGTTAAATTTGACTTGCAAATGACTCAAATATGCTGTTTTATTACTTTTTTTAGTTTTAGTACACACTTATATTTGTTTTAGTTGTGTGAAGATATAATTGAACGCATAACTTGTTAATGTTTAATAGTTTATTTATTTATAAAACAACTTTGTATGAATGTTTTTTGAATCGATAGTTCCACCACCCAGTATTTTATTAGTATCATCGACTCTCCTATTCTTTTATTTTCATTTAAGCTTCCCCGATTTGGGGCTTCACAGAACTAACGGTCTAAATTTTATCTGAATCGCTCAGTTTTTTGAACAAAAATGCTTGGATTAACCTCTTTCCTTGCCACGGTGAATCCCATTTCATTCGAGTTTTCTATTATGAAATTCCTTATTCCATTTTCCCACCGAAGATGGTACTATAATTTTCAAATTTACAACTAGTGAAGTAGTAATTAAGTAATTGCCACCTATTCTAAATGTTGTTTTATAAGCACATTTCACATAAACCATATATTTACAAAAATATGGGGACATTACCAATTATTCAAATATATTCTTATTCAATGATTATCAATTTCGCGCCCAAAGCTCAAAGTTGACACAAATGAACACTTATAAATCAAGAAATAATTGCGAAGATCACATTGCCAAAATATGAAAAAATACAATGACAGAAGATTCTGCAAGAATTCGTAAATCTTTTGTTATTTGCACATACGATACCTTGTTAATTTATGAAACGACTGGGGATGGCAACGAGGCGACATAAGGTGGTCCTCCTTATCTCCTACCCTGATGGGATCGGGGATGAGCTAAGGGAGGGATAGAGATTAAAATATTCTCGTTTACTCTCTCATTCATTTTTATAATACTATTTTTTCAATACAATTTAAATTAAGTTACTTGTCCCTATAATCACTATAAGTAAGTTGGTGTCTTCGATTGTTCACTACACTTTTAGATGTCGAGTTTTGTTGAACTTTTTAAACTCTTGGACATTAATCAATGGAATCACTTCTGTTTTGCATCTTTAATGAAATAACTGACGTGACAGACAAATTTCCCAGTTGGCACCCCATCACCAAAATGATACGTCTTTTTTGAAAAATCTTATTTTATTCCATATGTAGAAGATTATGCGGCATTAATGACATCGACGATATGAAAATATGTTATCCTTTCAGTATTCTATGAAACTCAAAACATAAACAAGTATCTCATCAACCAGACACATTCAAATATATTAAACTCATAATGAACTGCAATATAATTCCAAGAACACCTGAATGTTTTACTTCTACCATTCAATGTGACAACTATAATAGCACCTAACAATTGCACCAGTGAAATAATTCAATAAAATATTTAGCTTGGAAAGAACTTTCTAAACACACAATAACACATCATTAAACACACAAAAATAAACAAAGCCCATGTTTCCATATCATCGTGATATTACTTTGAAAAAAATTATCGACCAACACTCGATCGACTTAAAATACAGTGAGCAATTGAAGATATCCATCAAAGTATAGTGAGCAATAAAAAATGCCTTCCTTATATGAATTGTCCCTCTTCCTTGATTGGGAATTTATCGACGGTGGGATGCCATCTAAAAAATATGTTTGTGATGTCAACTGTTAAGTTAGAGACATGGAAAGAAAGTGGTTTCGAATATAGAAAAGTATATAATATAGAATTTCAAATAAACATTTAATATTCTATAACATAACCATTAATATAGCGATATAAAATTTCGATTACTTTATCACAATTCTAATTTATTAGTATAGCAAATCTTAAATATTTTTAGATAGAGAATAATGTCCGACACTTATGCAATCAAAACTCGACATCTTAAAGTGTAGTAAGCAATCAAAGACGTCAACCTAAATTTAGTGATTATTGCGACAATTAACTCAATTAAATTTAATAATAACATAAAAGTAAACTAAAAAATAAAATTTGGGACATTTTCATTCTCTATGAAGGCCGCTACACCGTTTTTGGTTGCCGACGAGCATGCGTTCCACTTTAATTCGGATGAATTGTGCCCAAGTTTTGAAGAGTTTTGATCGTGATCAATGATCATGTTTTACACTCAAGCGCCCCGGGTTATCTTGCTTCTCCAAAAATGATTTCACCTAAAAGTCGGTAGCACGATTTTAATAGATGACGCTGTAGTAGAAAGACTGGAGTAACTATACTTCTTTGTTTTTCTTTTCTTTTCCAGAAATCTCTGCTAAAAGAAGTTTCTATCTTTTTTCAATCTCCAATTCTGAAATTTTCCTCACAAATTCCCAATTTCCTTTCATGCAATCTTAATTTTGAAATTTCTGAAGAATTTCAGAATAATGGATCAAAACCAATTCGCGAACGAGCTCATAAGTTCTTACTTCCTTCAGCAATGGCGCCATAATTCCCAAACCCTAACCTTAAGCTCAACCCTCTCCAATCCCGGAACTGAATCGGATTCCGCACGACCCGATTTGGAATATGAAGATGAGGGAGAAGAGTTTCCGACGGAGCTCGACACGGTGAGCAGTTCGGGCGGGTTCTCCGTGGTGGGCCCTGATAAATTGTCCGTGCTGTACCCGAATGTGAATTTGCACGGTCATGATGTTGGAGTGGTTCATGCTAACTGTGCTGCCCCGTCAAAGCGGCTGCTTTACTACTTTGAAATGTACGTGAAGAACGCCGGTGCTAAGGGCCAGATTGCCATTGGATTCATCCCCTCTTCCTTCAAAGTTCGACGTCATCCTGGGTATGTATCTACTTCGCATTGAATTTAATTTGTGGTGTTTTTGTTTTTTATATTGTTTATGTTTTGTTTTTTGGCTTTTTATGTATATAGGTAAATGTATTAATTAGATTGAAATGTACTTGGTTTGGGGGAATTTGGTTTGAGAATGGTATATTAGATGCCAAGAAAAATGGTAGTTCTCTGTACTTGAAAAAAGTGTACCTTGCTATGTAGAGGAATGATTTATAAATATTGTTTAGGTTTTTCTTTAGCTTTACATTGTATTTTGCACGCGTTAGCATATGTTTTTAAGTGCATAGCTATAAGTATTGGATTTTTAGGATTTTGCCTTCCGGCTTCTACAGTTTGACATTGATTTGGTAGGTTTCATATAATCTGAGTGTTTCTAATTCCAATATTAGCTGCCACGTATATTGCATTTGTGGTTGTTTTTGTGTTGATTTCGGTGTCTTGCAATTCTATAAGTTGAGGGTTTGTACTGATTGAAGTAATAATCTGTAACCAAATGCTAAATTGTGCTCCGCTTCCTGCCTTTAACATTATCAGAAACAAAACTAGCCTTCAAATTTAATTTTGAAACGCGCACATACAAGCACGTGTAGAGAAATGGAGATAGAGAGAACTGAAATACCTTCTTTCTATGAATGGCTCCCATCAGACCTGATGCTTTGTCTTCCCAGACTTCTTTGCATTATGATAGCCATTGCCCACAATAATACCTAGACTGCCTTTGGGGCCATCTTTCCAGACATCTTGTAGGGACTAATACCTTTTCTATTTTCTTTAACCTCACCTTCAAAGAAATCAGGCAGTAAGATATGTTCACAGCTCTGACAAATAAAAACCTACATGGTGATTTTTATAAAAACATCTATATACATGACGAGCCTCTTTTTTTCTTGCAGTCTAAATTTTACTTTTGTATTTAATCTTGCTGGTTAATTTACATTCTACACTAAGAATTGCTCTTTGGGGATGGAAATGTTGTAATTTTGAACTGTCGAGGGAAGTTTTTGGGCTATCCATGGGTGTGCTTCACTCTTGTGTTTGTGGGGTTATTGGTTCAAGGTAAAATTGGAATGTGAAATTAAGAAATATAGCATTTTGGATATATAGCATTCTTTAGGTCGTGCTTGGGAGTTTTAATTCCCCCCCCCCCCCCCCCCCCCCCCC